ACCCATACTTGCCTCATAGCAGTTCGAGTCTAGGTGGGGTAATTCATCATAGGTTGCGGGTCGGGACAAGTCGATCCAATGGGTATTTAGTTTAGAAGAAAACCATGAGTAAATATACAATTTTTTCATTGAAACCCCAAGAAATAAAGTAAAATATGATAAAGGTAGTTTAATTATTTAAAAATTGAAGTTCTCACATGTTTAAAACTTTATTATAGGATAAATATGCAGTAGTAAAAGTAAAATTATAAGTAGTTCTAATAAAATTACATGTAATTTAGGCAAAGACGGATCGAGAATGGAGCGGGTCAGGTCAGATCGAGAAAGAGTACACATGCCCGTCCCGACGGGCCGGGTCGGACACTCATCAAAATAGGTCAAACAGGTCGGGTAAAACGAATCAGGTCAAAATTGTCATCCCTACCTTTGACTGTTTTGTGTCAGATATTTTATCTTAGGATGGGTCGAGACAAGTTAACCATTCATATGAGTCTAAAGTGAAAAATTACCGAATAAAAATGAAGTTTCGGGGACATTTGATAAAATTGGAACGATACAAAATAGCCACTATGACATAATATATAAAGGAAATTTATTCAAGGAAGGAAGGCTCTCGGATAATGAGATAAGATTTGAGCTAAAATATTAAACAGTATAATATTAAACTATAACTTAGACAAATATGGTTGAGAATGAGGCAAGGTATGGCCAAAGGGTTTTGATGTGTGGATCCCAAAGCATATCAAATAATTCGGGTATCGAAATTGTCATTCATAAATATTAAGCGATGATTAATTGTCTTCAAAAAATTAAGATCTTGCTTAGTTATAACAAAATCCAACCTTTATCTGCTAATTTTTATACGTAATACAAGACATGCATAATGGCTTTTGACAGTCGTCTTACTAATAGATAATCTACTATAGAAAAGAATGTGCCCGTAATAAAACATGATCGTTGTATAAAGATTCACCAATAGATCATTTACAATACACAAAGGTGTGCGCACAAGAGATTTTACTAAATTATCAAAACTTCGAACAACATAAAGCAACCATATATACCAATCCAATTGCTAAAACGATTCTAAACATGATCTCCATAGAAACTAACAGGATTGACATACGAGGAAAGTCTGAACCAGAGAGACAAGTTCCAAAAGAAGCAGCCCCAGCAAATCACCAGAAGCAGCCGAATCATCGTGCGCTCATCAGCCCCTAAACCATTAGTGACGCTACGCACAACCGTGGTTAAAAGCTCTGCCGTCCTGATGATCACATTCCTGCTCGTTGTTGCTCTTCCATGTACTCCCACATTGAGTCTTAACCTGGCCCCATTCGTCGTTATAAGTTCAGCAGCTACCTCACGGTCTTCCTTCGAGATCGTAACAATTGTTCCTTCCGTCGCCTTTTCCGGTATTGAATTGACATCTCCGTCGAATTTTAAAGCTAACTTCAAGCTCTCGTAGCTTCTCCCATCCGTCGTGTTTCTTAAATCGACCAGCTCTTCGAAGTTGATGCGAAGAACGAGACCAGGATCTCGTTGATCGAAAAACGTTGCGAATGTCACCATCGCCATTGTTATGGAGATCGTAATAGCTACAAATATTGTTACCATTAGACAACACAACCTCGTATACTCGTGCTGGCCTTGTGACTTTTGGGAATACCTGTCATAGATCTTCTCCATTGGAAGATCACGAGTTGAAATTTTGAGAAAGAAGAGAAGAAGAAGAAAAACCAAATCAATTTTGACCTTTTGTAGAATGTGAGAGTATAGAGTGACGAAAGGTTTTATAATTTTTTTGAAACTGAACCTGCAAGTTGAATGCCATAGATGGGGGAATGATATTAGGAACTAATACAATGGATTAATATAAGTACTATATATGCCTTATTTGTTATTTTTGTTCAATCCTGGGCGCAATTCCCTCTATTAACCTCTCATCTTGTTACCGTGTTATCGTAAAGTTTTCAATAATTTTTATTACTAATACGGATTCATTGATTCTAATCATATTTAACATGTCAAATTAATTCTCAATAAAAAAAAGTCAGGAAGAAAGGACTCGTAATTCTGCGCTTCCTGCCTTTTGAGTTTTTGTTGTAATGACACGGATTTAGAGAAGAGAATACATTTTTTCTAATCCTTTTTTAATCGGGACATATATCATTCATTTCAACTTAGAATTTAAAAAAAAATTGCAATGAAAGAACGTATTAATTATGATCTATGCAATAATGTTCATTTTGCTGTTTTTTTAGCAAAGAGAAAATAAAGTTTTCAAAACATGTGTTGATTGTGGTATTATTACTATCATATCTTCATGATATGATATTTCTATATTGACAACATCTCCTTCATTTGTATATAAAGTACACATTAATTAAAATATACATAATAATATATTCATTTTTTTATGTTTTGTCAAACATAAGACCTCATGCCAACATGATATCATGATATGACAATAATATGATGTCATCAAATCATTTTCTCATAAGAGTTCATACCAACATCATATCACTATCATACCAACATTATATCATTATAATATCAACATCATACCACTACAAGTGGTAATATAGTGATATAACAATAGTAAGATGACGTAAAATATTTTGCTCAAAAAATATGAAAATGAATATCATCTTGTAGAGCACAAAAATATTGCTTTTTATGTGCAAATTTTTTGAAATCTTATATAAAATGAATAAGATTAGGTCAATTGAATTTTCATGTGAGACTTGAAAAGTGCTTTTATAACCACCTGGAAATTCACGCCAATCCCACAAAATTCGATCAAAAGCCCTAAAAATTTGGTTAGCCCTCTCCAAACTACTACTTTTCTTCCTTAACCCTTTCAAAGGAATAAAGGAGGCCCATAAGATCACTTTTCTCTCAATCTCAGCCATTCAATATATAGTTTTATAGTAAAACAAAATTATAAGTTTTGTAACTGACCCAACCCATAAAAAATACAAGTGAGAGGAAAGTTGTAGATTCAGAGTAGGAAATCCACGAGATATTGGGAAAGGAGAGAAGCACGTAGGTTTATTGGATTATGACTTGGGACCGGATAGGGTGCTAACACCCATTAGTGTTAGCACCTTACTGTTTACACCAAAATATTTTCCCTCCTAAAATACCACTTGGTTGACCTAAAAGTGCTTGGTCACCATGTGCCGAGTCCAGGGTAACCATCTAACATGTAGGTGGATGGTAGCATCCCACAGTATGGATACTATCAAACCTCTAAGTGGATAGTACCACCTCATATAGTGGACACCATCCAACCTATTAGCGAATGGTGACCATCCCACATTATGGATACCATCCAACCTCTAAGTGGATGGTACCATCCCATATAGTGGACACCACCCAACCTATTAGTGCATGGTGACCATCCCACATTATGGACACCATCCAGCCTCTAAGTGGATGGTACCATCCCATATAGTGGACACCACCCAACCTATTAGTGGATGGTGACCATCCCACATTATGGACACCATCCAGCCTCTAAGTGGATGGTATCATCCCATATAGTGGATACCATCCAACATCTTAGTGGATGGTGATCAATTCGCATCATGGATACCATCCAACCCTATGGTGGAATGTGGATTGTATCATCCCAAATATCATGGACACCATCCAAATGACTAATTGGATGTTGACCATCCCATATCATGGATGTCATCCAAAGTACTAGTTGGACGGTACCATCCATATTGAAATAGGATGACGTGGCGATGCATTTAGAGACTTGTTGGCGACAACTGACTTGCGTAGAGGCTAAGCGGAGCTACTTTTTGGGAGTAGGAGAGAGAACAGTTGGACAAATCATGGCAACAAAACTTGAAGCAACATCCTGGAGCAAGGAAGACAAAACACAATCCAACACAAAGACAAATTGTCTCAACTATCCATTTTTCCTTTTTCTCTGTAGTTTGCGGAGCTGTGCTCCATGAAGGATACACCATAGCAGTAGTCTTAGTTGTAATCGCGGAGTGACTCGCTCGAATCTACACTACAATTAAATCCCAATTAGAGCCCAAGTTTTTAAACTCTAATCGTGTGTAGTATAGGGCAAGTATCTATATATCGACCCGGGCCGGTCCGTCTACCCCTACTTCATTTGTTGACATCATTATCTAGCGATAAAACTTTCGTTTAAAGGTTTGCCAATTTAAATGAAAGAAAGCAAAAGTAATTTGGTTTGAAAACTCTTTTGTGGGAAAGTCAGTTGGGTTTTGCTTCCCCCTAAACCGCTACTATGCTACGTGGAATGGAACGATTGTCTTGAGCACATTAATCGTGAACCGTAGAGGAAAGCGTATGTGGTCAGGGACCACAGTCTCGATTGCTAAATCGAGGTGAAGATGAAAGGTCGTGTCACCCGACCCTCTTGGTTTAGACTTTAGACAATCGGTAATCGGCTTACTTCCTCACTCAACTCTAAGGTCGGACGGTTTAACCACGATTAATCGATTTGTTCAATTCAATATTTCGGATTGCCCTAACTTGACCTAGTTTAGGTGGCTTGGAAAGCGGAAGGAAAACCAACTCGATTGAGTCTCCCTTAAAAGGGGGATTTTCCTTTATAAACTACGCTAAGTTGGTAAATTAGATTTCTAGCACCTAAATGCAAAAACTTAGGGGTGCTAAACACAATTATGAACAACCCTAGGATGCTAAGCACGAAATATGCACAACCCTAGGATGCTAAGCACAAAATATGCACAACCCTAGGATGCTAAGCACAAAATATGCACAACCCCTAAGTTGCTAAGCATAAGCATGCCAAATCATGGTGAAAATACCTCAAACATTAAATTGAAGAATGCCCAATATCAATCATTCAAACCACATACAAGAAAACTACATAGTAGGGTTTAGGGTTCCACTACACCCAAGTGGGAGGAGGACTACTCCATGGAAGAAGTGGGAAGAACAAAGGAGAAAAAGGTGGAAATCATCTTGTGGGGATGTCTCCTCTCTTCTTCAACCTTGAGCTGGGATTTCCTTGGGGAAATCTTCCCAAAACCTCCTTTGAAGCCAAGCCCTAACTCCTTCTTCTCTGTTGGACCTGGTTCTCTCTCTAAAATGCAGAAGAAGTGTTTCTCAAACAAAAAGTCGCTCTCCTCTTCTCTTTCCTTGCAGCTCAGCTTTTAAACACGAGAGGGCCTGAGTTCATGGTCGTGCACTCTCAAACGCGTCCGTGAACTCACGCCTTGCGCCAAAACGCACCGCATCGATCACGGCAGTTCACGGGCAACTGTTTGTGTTCACGATCTTAGTGACTGTGAACTCGCCTTGCGTCAGTAACCTTCAAGTTGGCTCTGGACGCCTTGCTCTTCACGGTCAACTCCACTTCTTCACGTTCTTGCGCGACCGTGAACTCCTGCCTTTAGCCGTGAACTTGCGCTTTTTCACCTCTTCTCCCGGTTTTCGATCCTTTTCGCCAATCCTTCGACTCTGAGGCTGGTTCCACCTTTTAAATCCTGAAAAGCACTCAAGCACACAGAACCTCGCGTAAAACAACCCTCTGATGAGCGAATTTGGCACAAACATCTAAGCAAACCGAGGGCAAAATATGTGGAAGTAGGCCCGAATCACTCCCCCACACTTAGACGTTGCTTGTCCCCAAGCAAACCATTTCACGCATGCGGTAATATTTCAACCTACACAAATTCTTTGGGGACAACTCAAAGGGCACGAAGCGGGAATTCTCGATGTTTACTGACAATCAACACATGAACCGTTGCATGCAATACCGACATCCACCACAAACTACATTCAAAGCCACCAAAATGGGCAAACGAAAAGTTCTCAACTTATTCATGGATAAATGCAAGTCTCAACAAAACCACTTATCGACCACAACCAACCATGCATGGAATTTAAGTCTGAGGAACAAATGGAAATGCAACAAAGGTCCTCAACGGGGTATGATATGACATGCAAAGCAAGAATGAATCGCTCACTCTCAACACCAGTGGGGTCGGACCTTTTTGGTGCAAAAGATGTGCACAATCGTAACCTCTCGGCCCTATCGTCTTAATACCACGGCGGTAACCTCTAATTGCTAGAGTTCACGGGATGGTTGTCACCACTAGCTCATTTGGAGGTCTTAGACACGGGTTCAGATGACTGGCGATTGGCTGTGACATGGTGAAAAGGTTTTTTGGGTGGTGGCAATCATGACGTGAGGTTCTACATCTTCAACCTAAAGCCGAAGGGTCTATGGTTTCGACTAAAACTCTTCTCTTCGATCAAAGGCCACTAGCATCAGCCAAAACCCTTATCTCTCCCTTCCAACTATCACCAATCATGAACTACCTTGAAGCACTCTTCCTCGGCCAACTCTTGCTAGTTCTTTTAAGGTTTGGTAGTGAAGGAGTTCTAAACAATATGGGGGTTTCATTGGCTTGGGTGCCAAGAAACCCCTTCCTAGAGCATGTACTTTGATTTTCCGTGGCACTCTCTACTTTATTTACCCTATTTTATTACCTCTTTTTCGTTTCTCTTTTCTTTCTCTTTTTTTCCTTCTTTTTGAGGGGGTATTAGAGAGTAAAAACACTTGCCACCTAAACATTTATCAACCAATGGTCTCTTTTTGAGGAAATAAATCCAACACGACACTCAATTTGGCACTCCGAGAAAGAACCACACATAAACCTCCTATGTAGAACCTCTATGGAAACTCAATGGTAAGAGTTCCGGGACACACGGGCAACTAATGTTTGGACACGAAAAAAGGATTTGGGGGTCGTTCTACTAACACATTTAAGCTCACACGAACAAAGCTCCTAAACTGAGAACGACCCATGGAATCACATAGCTCAAACGGGTTGACTAAGGGATGATGCATCTCGGGACAATCAACTTTCGAGGCATGGGAAAATCCTATGCCTCCATCATACTTGCTAGTGATAACTTGTGATGCTACACACCGTGGTAAGAGAGAAGTATCACACCAAAAGAAATGAACAGCACAAAGCTCACGGGCTACCTAGTTATCCAACCATCTATTCCCATTCACAAACACGATGCAAGGCAATTGTAAACAACAAGTGATCAAGTCAATACCTTCATCCATTTATGCACACTTTGAGAACTAAACTTTTGCCCTATCCTAATGAACTTCTCAGCCATCATCATAGGATATGCTCAATCACATGCACAGTTCAAGATTAATGCCACAAACACGAGAATTTCCCACCATCCGGTCACTTTGAACATGCAAACGTTGCTTGGACCTCTCAAATTTTTGAAATTTGGGCATACAAAAGGCTCCAAGAAACATCTCACTCACACAAGCACACAAGAAGACTACCCCCCCCCCCCCACTTAAACTCGGCATTGCCCTCAATGGCGTAAGAAAGGGGTAGAGTGATGTTACTAATTGGGCTTTGTGAGTGGATGTAGGAATCGAACCGGGGTAGAATAATTGCAGCTTCAAGGAGAGACAACAAAAAACACACACAAGCACAATACGACTCACTCGAAGCGAGGTTATTACAAGCACAATACATAGTAGTAGTAGTTCATGCTGGCTAACCTTCGTTGGGTTGCCTCCCAAACAAGCGCTTCTTTAACGTCTTAAGCTAGACGGAGACTTTCGGGTCATGCATCTTGCAGGAACACCACCTCCTTGTGTGGCATCACCTCTCCTCCGAGGTAACGCTTCAGGCGGTGTCCATTCACTTTGAACGTTCCTTCCTCCGGGTGGGAGATCTCAACCACCCCGTATGTGAATACTTGAGTTACCACATACGAGCTCGACCATTTTGACCTTAGCTTCCCAGGGAATAGTTTCAACCGGGAGTTGTACACGAGAACTTGGTCTCCCGGCTGGAAATCATTCCCTCCTTTCAGGCGAGCATCATGCAAGCGCTTTGTCCTCTCCTTGTAAATCTTGGTGTTCTTATAGGCTTGGAGACGCCACTCCTCAAGTTCAAGCACCTGCAACTTCCTTTCATTTCCACACAAACTAGGGTCCATATTCAAAAGCTTTGTGGCCCAGAAAGCCATGTGCTCTAGCTCTACGGGTAAGTGGCACGCTTTGCCATACACCAAATGGTAAGGCGAGACGCCTATTGGTGTTTTGTAGGTCGTGCGGTATTCCCATAGAGAATCATCGAGCTTTGCGGACCAATCCTTGCGGGATTGATCCACGGTCTTTTCCAGGATCCGTTTTAGCTCCCTATTTGATAGCTCGACTTGTCCACTAATTTGGGGGTGATAGGCCATGGATACCCGGTGGGTGACACCGTAGCGAGCGAGGAGCTTAACGAATTTCCCTTGAAAATGGGTTCCTTGGTCGCTAACAATAGCCCTTGGGGTTCCAAACCGTGAAAACAGCTTTTTTCAGAAATCCGCAGATTCGTCTTGCATCATTGGTGGGGAGAGCTTGAGCCTCAACCCACCTCGAGATGTAGTCTACGACCACAAGGATGTATTTGTTACCAAAAGGCGAGGGGAAAGATCCCATAAAATTGATGCCCCAAACGTCAAAAATCTCACAAGTGATAGAAATTGTTTGGGGCATCTCATTTCAATTAGAAGCATTACCTGTCCTTTGGCATGTGTCGCAATGGCTCACGAATTTGTAGGCATCCCGGAAAAGGCTCGGCCAATAGAATCTAGACTAGAGCACCTTTCTTGCAGTTTGGTTGCCTCCGTGGTGACCCCTAGCTGGCCCCGTATGGCAGTAGTTCATAATAACTTCCATCTCCTCCTCCAACACGCACCTTCGAATGATTCCGTCGGTCCCAATTCGAAAAAGGTGAGGTTCGTCCCAGAAGTAGGCACGAAATTCGGAGAAGAACTTGTTCCTCTCATGGGTAGTCATCCCCTTGCGTAGCCGCTTTCCAACCAAGTAATTGGCAAAGTCGGCGAACCAAGGGGCGATACTCACTGCAGCGGCGAGGGCGAGTCGACGCTCATCAGGGAAGGCTGCAATTATCTCTCTCGAATGTGTGCTACTTCCCGGTCCTTCAAGCCACGAGAGGTGGTCAGCTGCAAGGTTTTTGGCCCCCCTTTTTATCTTGATCTCCACATCGAACTCTTTCAGCAGCAGGATCCATCGAATCAGCCGAGGCTTGGCATCCGCCTTACTCATCAAGAAGCGGATGGAAGAGTGATTTGCGTAAACAACAACCTTGGAGAGCACCAGATAAGACCTGAATTTGTCGAAAGCAAAGATTACTGCTAACAGCTCTTTCTCCGTGGTTGTGTAGTTCTCTTGAGCATCATTTAGTGTCTTTGAGGCTTAGCAAATAGGTTGGAAGTGTCTACCCCTCCTTTGACCCAAAACTGCTCCCACTGCATAATCACTAGCATCGCACATGAGCTCGAAGGGGAGGTTCCAATCTGGGGAGACCATTATGGGGGCATTGGTGAGTCTCTCTTTAAGGATGTTGAAAGCATCAAAGCATTCCTTTGTGAAAAGGAATGGGCGTCCTTCTCCAAACGCTTGGTCAAGGGCAATGCGATCTTCGAGAAGTTTTTGATGAAACGACGGTTAAACCTCGCATGCCCAAGGAAACTCCTTATGCCTTTAACTGTGTTAGGGGGAGGTAGTTTGCTTATTGTCTCAACTTTGGTGCGATGCACCTCAATCCCCTGCTTAGAGATTTTGTGACCCAACACAATGCCCTCCTGGACTATAAAATGGGAATTCTCCCAACTCAAGGCTAGATTGTTTTCTTCACATCGCTCAAGGACTTTCTCTAGGTTGGCCAGACAATGAGAGAACGAATCCCCGAAGACTGAAAAGTCGCCCATGAATACTTCCATTATCTCCCCATCTAGCTTGTCAAAGATGGCCACCATGCACCTCTGGAATGTTGTCGAGGCATTACACAATCCAAACGAGATTCGTCAGTAAGCAAAGGTCCCGAAGGGCATGTGAATGTCGTCTTGGCTTGCTCTTCTGGGGAAATCGGGATCTGGAAGTATCCGGACATCCCATCCAAGAAGCAGTAGTAACTATGCCCAGCGAGTCTCTTTGGGATTTGATCAATGAAAGGCAAAGGGAAGTGGTCCTTTCGTGTGGCTTCGTTCAATCTTCGATAGTCAATGCACACTCTCCACCTTGTCACCGTTCTTGTTGGTATAAGCTCTTCCTTTTCATTGGCTACCACAGTCACTCCTCCCTTCTTAGGGACCAACTGGGTTGGGCTCACCCACTGGCTATCCGAGATAGGGTAGATAATCCCGGCATCCAGCAGCTTGATCACTTCTGCCTTCACTACTTCTTCCAGATTAGGATTCACTGGCCTCTGTGGTTACCAAACAGGTTTGGCCCCCTCCTCCAGGTAATCTTGTGAGAACAAAATTTTGACCCAATTCCTCGGATATCTGTGATCTTCCATGCTATTGCCCTCTCGTGACGCCTTAAGACCTCAATCAATTCCACCTTCTGCTCGGGCGTAAGATTGGCGTTGATGATGACTGGAAGCTTCCCGTCATCCCTCAAAAAGGCGTACTCGAGGCGGGGAGGTAACGGTTTCAATTCCAACTCGGGGGGTTCCTCCAGGGAGGTAGGGATTTTCGGCATGGAGGGCAATGCCTCCACTTCTTGATCTTGCATCGGTGGGCTATCATCCTCCGGGGAGTCTGGGGCGTCAGTTCCTACCAAGCAACACTCCTCAAAAGGGTTAGTAGCAAGGGCACCCGCAAACGCGAGTGCCTCCATGAAGTCAAAAACCTCTTCGCAATAATCAAAATCATCATGGTAACGAGACAACTTCATGTTATCATCAATGGAGAATGTGACCTCCTCTTCTCCTGCCCTAAGCACCAACCTAACCCCATGCACATCAATCAAGGCCTTGGAGGTGGCTAAGAAAGGCCTTCCCAAAATGAGGGCGACCTCAAATTTCTCATCAATGTCTAAGATAACAAAGTCCACTGGAAACACGAGAGGTCCTACTTTAATGAGCAAGTCCTCTACAACACCTTTAGGTCGTACCACAGACCTATCCGCCAACTGAATGTGCATCCTAGTGGTTCTAAGTTCTCCTAGTTCTAACTTTTGAAACAACTTGTAGGGCATCACATTAATGCTAGCTCCTAGGTCCGCCAAGGACTTTCCTATGCATACATCACCAATAAAGCAAGGGATAGTGAAACTCCCTGGATCTTTGCGTTTCGGGGGCAAGTGGTTCTGCACGAGGGTGGAGCATTCCTCATTCAAGCTCACGGTAGCTACCCCCTCAAGCTTCTTCTTGTTGGTGAGGAGGTCTTTCAGGTATTTGGCGTACTTGGGCATTTGGGTGACGGCCTCCAGGAAGGGGATGTTCAAATGCAACTGGTTCATCAACTCCATGAAGTGGGAGAACTCTGCCGCCATGCGGTCATTGCGAAACCGTGAAGCATAAGAGAGAGTTGGGGTTGCTTTCCTCTTTTCTTGCTCCAGTTGAGGGGCCAGAGTGACATCCTCTTCTTGAGAGGTCGGCTTAGGAGTCGTAGAGTCGAGGTCCCTGTCACTCGTAGCTTCCGGCTGCCGGGGGGGAAGGGGGTTTCCGCCCCCTTTTTGCTCTTCTGTAGTGGACTGTTTCTTCTTGGGGGCAGCTCCTTGGCCTCTCTTCCACTTCGAAGAGTCACGGCCACCACATCTACTTCGTCGACTGATCTCCAAGGCTGAGCCGCCTGTAAGATACCCCTTATGCTTGTGGCCAGGTTGATCAAGTGGGTTTCCTGACTCTCCAACCCCGCCTCTATGTCCGAGAACTTCTTCGTTGCCTCTCCAATGAATCTGTCAATTCTTTCAAACTTTTTGGAGCTGGAGGCGACAAAGCTCATCACTTCCTCCTCGAGGCGGGTCATCCGGTGGTTCTCTACATCCTCATGGTTCCAACTTTCACCCCACTCCATAGGTGTTGCTACCCCGCTTACATGTCCTTTATCCTCGAGCATCATTAAGATCAAACGATCTAACTTCGCTTCAAGCAGGGTCATACAACTTCCCACCGAAGTCGGGGGCTTCCTAGGAGTCGGAGAGGCAGGTTGCTCCGGGTCATGCACCACCGACACACACTCAGAAAACACCAAGTCCAGCACAAGCAAAGAACACACACACTTGCAAAACTTGAAATTAAAAGCTAGATTAACAACCAACAACTTTTTCATTATAACATACCGTAGTCCCCGGCAACGGCGCCAAAAACTTGACTCACTCGAATCTACACTACAATTAAACCCCAATTAGAGCCCAAGTTTTTAATCGGGTGTAGTATATGGCAGGTATCTATATAAAAACCCGGGTTGGTCCATCTACCCCTACTTTGGTTCTTGACATCATTATTTAGCGATAAAACTTTGGTTTAAAGGTTTGCCAATTTAAATGAAAGAAAGCAAAGGTAATTTGGTTTGAAAACTCTTTTGTGTGAAAGTCACTTGGGTTTCGCTTCCCCCTAAACCGCTACTATGCTACGTGGGATGGAACGATTGTCTTGGGCACGTTAATCGTGACCACAGAGGAAAGCGTATGTGGTTGGGGACCACAGTCTCGATTGCTAAATCGAGGTGAAGATGAAAGGTCGTGTCACCCGACCCTCTCGGTTTAAACAATCGGTAATCGGCTTACTTCCTCACTCAACTATAAAGTCGGACGGTTTAACCACGATTAATTGATTTGTTCAATTCAATATTTCATATTGCCCTAACTCGACCTAGTTTAGGTGGCTTGGAAAGCGGAAGGAAAACCAACTCGATTGAGTCTCCCTTAAAAGGGGGATTTTCCTCTCTAAACTACGCTAAGTTGGCAAATTAGATTTCTAGCACCTAAATGCAAAAACTTAGGGGTGCTAAACACAATTATGCACAACCCTAAGATCCTAAGCAAGAAATACGCACAACCCTAGGATACTAAGCACAAAATATGCACAACCCCTAAGTTGCTAAGCATAAGCATGCCAAATCATGGTGAAAATACCTCAAACAATAAATTGAACAATGCCCAATATCATTCATTCAAACCACATACAAGAAAACTACATAGTAGGGTTTAGGGTTCCACTACACCCAAGTGGGAGGAGGACTACTCCATGGAAGAAGTGGGAAGAACAAAGGAGGAAAAGGAGGAAATCATCTTGTGGGGATGCCTCCTCTCTTTTTCAACCTTGAGCTGGGATTTCCTTGGAGAAATCTTCCCAAAACCTCCTTTGAAGCCAAGCCCTAACTCCTTCTTCTCTCTTGGTTCTGGTTCTCTCTCTAAAATGCAGAAGAAGTGTTTCTCACACAAAAAGTGGCTCTCCTCTTCTCTTTCCTTGCAGCTCAGCTTTTAAAAACGAGAGGGGCTGAGTTTACGACCGTGAACTCTCAAACGCGTCCGTGAACTCACGCCTTGCGCCAAAACGCTCTGCATCGATCACGGCAGTTCACGGGCAACTGCTTATGTTCACGGTCTTAGTGACCGTGAACTCGCCTTGCGTCAGTAACCTTCAAGTTGGCTCTAGACGCCTTGCTCTTCACGGTCAACTCCACTTCGTCACGGTCTTGCGCGACCGTGAACTCCTGCTTTTAGCCGTGAACTTGCATTTTTTCACCTCTTCTCCCGGTTTTTTATCCTTTTCGCCAATCCTTCGACTCTGAGGCTGGTTCCACCTGTTAAATCCTGAAAAGCACTCAAACACGCAGAACCTCGCGTAAAACCAATCTCTAATGAGAGAATTTTGCACAAACATCTAAGCAAACCGGGGGCAAATTATGTGGAATTAAGCGCCAATCACAAAGCTCTCAAAGAATCTCTTTAGGAGTAGTGTAAGGTAACGTAGATTTCCCATACACCAAAAACTCATGTTCGAACAGTGTTTGAAGAGGTGTGTACCTTAGTAACAATTGTCACCTTCATAAAAGTCAGGCGCAACCCATCACCCATTTTTCCACCATTAACATTTACTAACAACGAAAAAGCATAGCGTTTCCCATCTCCATTCCCAATTTGAACTCTCCGCTCTCCTCCCATTTAGTTTCTCGGCATGAAAAAGCATAGCCTGTTGGAGATTATTGCAGGAGTGTGTAATGACCCATTAGTTAGAGGGTAATTGTGTAATTGTGCTTCTGTACAAAAGGATGAACAGAGAACACAGAGTATGTTGGCGATGGATTATCAACAAGAAAGGGAGGTAGATGAGAAGAGAAAGGGAATAAGAGAGGAAGAGAGGAAGAGAGATACTGAGAACTAAGATTATTTATTCATCATTCATCATGCCCTGTTGTGTTCTTTGTTCATCCTTTAATACAGAAGCACAATTATGCAATCACCCTCTAACTAATGGGTCATTACTGAGTGAAGGTAAAGAATCCAACTAATGCTTAGTCCAGCTGGTACACCCTATTCTTCCAACTTCGTGTACGCTCCCCTCAAGGGCCGCCGATCTCTACCGTTGTAGCTGTTGAAATCCATAATCTAGTCGTCAATAGATCGCCACAAGTTTCGTCACCGTCTGCACGAGGCTGCTGCATTTCGCCACTTCATTCATTGTCCCCAGACGAGAGACAATCTCCACTGCTAGTTCATCCGACACCTTCGTGGATGGATCAATTGTTGAATATCCGCTGCTATGGTTCCATGGTTGCCATGGCCGGCAACGACGGAAGTTGCCTTGGTACTTCTTAGCATGAAAAAGAATAGGCCCTCCCTCTAATTGATCTCTGTTTTTCATTTAGTACTTGTTTTCCTTGGGACTGTAGCGTGGTTACTTTTCAATTAATAAAAGCCAACATCTCCATCTCTTTTTCCTCTATGCAGTGAGTATGTTGAATTGTTAAATTATGTCTTATCATCAGTGCAGTTAAAATTGGGATTTTGATCGTAAAATCGTAGGATTTTAAGATTTTACTTAGAGATTTCAATCCTAATTTTACTATAAAATCGGTGGACGTTATTATCGTTCAAAATCGGGATTAAAATCGTTAAAATCGTAAAATCGTACCAAAATCGTGATTTTGATCCTATGTGAACATAATAGGGAGCTTGAGCCAATTCAAAAAAGGCTGAACTGTTTCTGTGGAAAGGGCAATGACGGGGATCTTCTCATATATTTTTCTATTAAAAGAACATTTGAAAAAAAGAAGAAAAAACTAATTAGGGTTAGGTCAACCCCTTTCCCTTCTCCTTGTTTAACTCATCGGTAGAACAATTGTCAGAATATTGTAAGTGCGTAAGAATTAAAATCATTATTAACAAATTATTTGATTAATGAATATATTATATATTTGTACCAAACACAGACCATCGCTGGATGTGATTGTGTTGGAAGTATTTTATATTTCTATCATTTTGGTTGGAGTTCATATTCTTGGGGTTCTTTCTTCTACACTTCTGTATCTTCTTTTTTTACTAAAAAGGGATGTTGTAGCTAATACATCACTGCAATTGTCTTTCCCAAACCTATTTTCATTTAAATAAGCTTTCTAACATTTCTAAATCCATATCCTGGAAGTTAACAATATATTCCCACTACTTGAGTTTCATTCTCTATGTACATCAACAATTCACAGACGTACATTACATTTCAATTTAGGGACACGACTATCAGGTTCTTACATTAGAATATTTACAAGGAAGATAATACAAGAGGATGCGAGACAATACTAATACCCAAGAGACGATATTAATATTAAATTATCTTCTAACTGAGAAAATATTTAATTATCTACGAACATTATGCTTTGTCCCAATCACCATTTCAAACAAAATTCACCCGGCCAACGGACCGGGTACCAGGCTAGTTAATTATTTTATTGGATTTTAGTTATTCTTAGTTTTAAATCATGCTTAGTAGACCATATTGGAATACTACTTTGAGTTAAACTACCTAGACACAACATGAAAAACAAGAGCCAAACCCCAGTCCCCATGAGCTCTATCCCTTCCTCATAAATTATTTTGAGTTACGCATTAAATAACAATTGAAATGATAATTTTGGAACATTAAACTTGAAAATTATCACTTTAAATGTAGGTTAATTGCATGGTTGGTCACTGAGATTAAAAAAAAACGTTCAAGTTTGGTCACTCAAAATATTTAAATCCATTGGTGGTACTTCAGTTTACTGAAACCGTTCACGTTTGGTCACTCTCCGTCCAACTCCGTTAACTTTGGCTGATGTGGCAGTCAACTCTCAAAGTTGACTGTTAACTTAGTGACGTGGCAATTAAGAAATAATAAATTAAATAAAATTTAATCTTTTTAACGTCCAACTCATTTTATCATAAGATAAATAAATAAAATAAAAAATTATTATAATTATCAAATTACAACCACGATTCTTCGCCGTCGGCCCTTTGGCAAATCTTCCTCTAGGACCAGTACAACGAGTACAACAAGTTGTTCTTCAAGGACGAGAATCAAGGGTTCGTCGAGTGCTTTCCGTGGCTGGTTCTTATCCACGATGGGTACTTTCAGGGTGGAGGAGCGCGACGGCGAGGAGAAGGGATACAACGGCGAGAGCGTCCACTAGGATTAGACTGAACTTGCCGGAAGAAGATGGAGAGAGGAATTCCGTCAGGCGTCTTCCCATCTTCGTCGGTCGACTTGGGAGCTCCGTGGCGGCGATGCTGGGCGAGGTGGACCAAGGGGAACGACGGCGGGCCTCGTCGCGAATGTTCTTGTCGGCCGGGCAGCGGGACTTGACAGGAGGAATGGGCGGGGTCAAGGGTGTAGGTGGTGCAGGCGTGCAGGTGATTATAGTCGGGGAGCGGCAGGGAGGGGGCAGGGGCGAGGAGCGGAGCTAGAGATGATCAAATAATTTTTTATTTTATTTTTTTATTTTATGATAAAAATGAGGTGGACATTAAAATAGATTAAAAAATTTTATTTATTATTTCTTAATAGTCACGTCACTAAGTTAACGGTCAACTTTGAGAATTGACTGCCACATCAGCCAAATTTAATGGAATTGGACGGAGAGTGACCAAACGTGAACGGTTTCAGTAAACTGAAGTACCACCAATGCATTTAAATATTTTGAGTGACCATATTTGAACGTTTTTTGTAATCTCAATGACCAACCATGCAATTAACCCCTTTAAATGTTATAAGTCTTTGTGTTATTAATTATTTACCTTATTAATATTATCATATGTTAATTTCTATATGGTACTTAAAATCCTACGATTCTACGATTCGATTTTACGATTTCGATTTTACCCCAATTTTTTATTTTAGGTAAAATCTTGATTTTAACTGCTTTGCTTATCATAATAAATATGTGGTGTGGTTTAAAAAACTTGTGCTATGTTTTATGATATTTTTTTATATATTTCAAAAAAGTTATTGTGTGCTTTTAACAAACTTGTTGTATTCTTCATGAGAGTTGTGATATGCTAGAGGGGACTTGTGGTATGCTATATGAGGATTCTGGTATGCTTTCGGGAACTTGTGGTCTATTTTATGAGTTTGTTGGTTTGATTAAAAACTGTTGTGGTGTGCTTTAATTAACTTGTGGTCTATTTTGTGAGACTTGTGGTCTACTTATAGAACTTGTGGTATGTTTTATGAGATTTATGGCCTACTTCCAGAAACTTGTGGTGTGCTTGAATAAACTTGTGGTCTACTTTGTGAGACTTGTGATATGTCTTATAGAACTTGTGATCTGCCTTGTAGGACTTGTGGTATGTTTTATAAAATTTATGGCATACTTCCAAAAACTAGTAATATGTTTTATAAGGATTCTAGTATGCTTTTAAGTCGACCAAAAATTCTATAAATCGTACCAAAAAATATAAAATCCACACCACAAAGTTGTACAAACCTTACCACACTCACAAAGCTCATGAGTAAACAAAAACAACTTGTTACCTCAAATGGTTCACAAGAACAATAAAAGAATGGAGGCCGCAAATAGAAACACGTAAATGCCTTTCTTGCATCTCTTCAATTCTCCTTCATTTTCACTCTCAAATTAGGTTCCAAAACTTGTCCCACAACCTAATCCTCTCTCCGCCTTCCCTAGGGTTTTTGCGTCGAATCTGCGATGGCGGCCTCGTCGTAGGAATCTGCTCCGACGACGGGCAAGGGTTCTGGGGTTAGTACTTGGGCTCAGTTGTTTGATGTCCCTCAAGAGAATAGAATGAAGTATCGATCTCCAGAGCGGGTGAATGATGGATTTAGAATTCCTCGAGAGGTGAAGAATAAGGGGGAAGAGCGCTGGCGTGACTGCCTCATAGTGCAGTTTGTTGGAGCTCAACCTAAGGTGGCTCAGCTTCACACTTGGGCTACTGCAATCTGGGGAAGAGATGGCACTGTTCGTGTTTCGTGATTCGGGTCTCGTATG